GTAAATATGATATCTTCGTCCACGACGATTCCCCGAAGATTACAATGATTTTCATTTTCATATGGGTTATTACCCGTAACGTTCGTTCCGATACCTCGAGAGCATGTTTCCTCAAAAGAACGCGAGACACGCATTCAAAGATTTTACTCTCATTTTATTTATCTCAAGGAGCAGAATATATAGATTTAACGCATGGTTTACTTAAGCTATCACACGGAATTTTGGAAGTGTATTACCTGGTCCTTGTAAGAAGAGATGTTATCTTCAATGCTGAAGGACCGCGCCTTCTGATAGAGCTCTGGATGGTAGACGGTCGGCTGATCGATGTGCCAGAAGAGCTCGTAGATGTTCTTCTGCTTGGTCAGGTACTGCTTGGTGGCAGTATGATGCGGCACCTGTGTGGCCTGAGCCAGGCACGCCGCCGCCGCCAAGAACAACGCAACCGTTTTCATCCTCGTGTGTTTAATGCGCGAAGGATCGACGGGCACCGTGGCGGAATCGGCTTATATACTTACCAGACATCGATGAAGGAGATACAAACAAAAGTCACCGAGCGCATAATCAAGAGACCGATGAAGTAACCGGTGTAACGATAATGACGAATATCTTTTTCTTTCTTTCCGCCTCCTTCTCTGTCACTCTTTGCCAAAATTAACTTGTGTAAGAATTATCATCGCTGGTAATCGTGTGCACTTTGACACGATGGAAATCATGGACTTTTGGCTCTTTGACGATTATTTTTTATAACTTATTTTGTTCAGCCTTAAAAAACAATTTACTCTTCAGAATATTTCGTTCACACAAATACATATGTAAGCACGTTGACTGTTTGACACTCGCGAATTAGTGGGGCAAATGAGATGCGCCCGAAATAAATGGGATCAAAATGAGTTACGTGACAAGGTGTAAATTTTCTTGTAATACATTTAATTTCATTATTTTCGTGCGTTCTCTCTTTTATCCAGACGATCTTTTACCTGACTACACGGAAAAAACAATTCTGTTGGCGCAACCAAATTTTCGATTGCTCAGGGACCAGACGAAAATTCGGTTGTAGGAACAGAACAATTCCTGTATAAGGCTTCTGTATAGTCAATTGTTCTCAGTTACCTCAACTTAGTTCTGATATCGTTGAATGTTCAGACGAATATTTTCGGTTGCGACAACAGAAATATTAGTTTTCCTAACAGAGATATCGCTTCTGATCATCTCATTTTCAGTTGGTTCCTATTTGATCGCACCAATTGAAATTTTTTTTCCGTGTAGGGTCGACGAGTTTTTTCAATGAGTACGAAGAAACTGAAGTCTGTGAATTTCCTCAAAATAATATTCTTTATTTACTCGACTTTTGTATTGCACAATAAATTTCTTATGCATTTTTAGCAATCGTTGATAATTGGTAATGACTTCACTTCGCACCAGTCGCACGATGCGATAACAAAAGCTTGCGTAAAGAACGACAAGAGTCAAAATATCTCAACTCTGATTAATTCAAATCGTACGTGTGACCTATCACCTATTACGATTACATAATTTGTTATTCGTATAATTTATTATTGATACACGAGCCTTTTAATCGGATGTGATAAATCAAACTAATATTAGCTTGTAAGATAAATAAATTAAAAAAGTTAGCGTAAAATAACTGAAGTGAAAAATCCTGTTAAAAAAAAGTAAGATTGATTTATCTCCAGAAAAATCATTGCGCATTTGCATTGCAATTATCATACATGTCATGTATGTCTCGTGAGAAAAAGAATCGAATAATGCATTTATTTGTGCATTTGTATGCATTATATATATATATATATATATATATATATATATATATGTATAACAATAGTTCTAAAGAAATAGTTGATTTTACTGATTAAGTGCGCTTCGAGAACTTAGCGCACCTTTTTTTAAAAGTCTATATTTTTGTATTTAATGACCGGAACTATTTAAAATTGTTGCAAAGAGCTCTAGAACTTTTCAAGAGAGTATCAAAACTTTAAAAAAAATGTCACATTTTTAAATATGGTGTGCCAAGTCTTGGCACACCATATTCAAAAATGTGACATTTCTTTTGCAGTTCTGATACTGCATTAGGTGATTTCCATTACTGATCGATGTTATCAATTTATTGAATGTATCTTACTTAAGGAGATGCTGGAGTCAATGACAAACTCGAACAATGTCGATAATGCAGAGACGATCGTCACTAACATAATCACGCTATCCTTTTCGTATTTCTTGTATATACAGAATTTACATGAATGTATGCTGCTTTGTTTTACCATATTCAACGGAAAACCTAACCATATATGTGTAGAAATCTTTCTGCAAACTTTTTCGATATTTTTAAGCTTCCAAATACAAATGCAAAGGTAGAGCAATGTTCTTTAAAATTTTTCCGTTTGGAGCATCCGCACTTTCAGTATTTACAAGCTGCGGAATTTTTGGATTAGACAAATGTTACGCTAACTGTCAGCTGGAGATTTTACATTAAAAATTTTTTGTTCGTTTTCATCATCGAGCAATGATCCTATTTATTTTTGCACGTACTTTCATTGCGTAAAAGCATTTGTAATTCTGTGTAACCAATACGACGTAAACTTTGCAGAAAAATGTCAGTGTTCTGTCGGTAAAGTTTGCACCTTCAGCATCTCCTTAATCTACTAGCGAATTAACATTTAACATTTCATTCACTGGAAAAGTATTATAGGCGACAAATATGGTTTTTTAACGTTAGAGGATATATATTTTCCATTTTTTTAACATTTTTTTCTACATTTATATACTTTTATTATATGCAAAATTTTCTATTGTATCGCAGAAGTTTCGAATAAAAAGCGATTGTTTCTATATTTTCTGAATGCAAAATTCTCGGATAAAGAAATGAACTTTTCTGGAAAAAAGGATCGAACCTAAAGTTACTTATTCCCTGAGTTTAATTTGTAGGAAACTGTACTAGTCTTCTTCATATATATCTTTAGCTCAGTTTTACTAAAATTTTAAATAAGATATCGTGTTTTTCACATTTCTCAAGGTGCACTTGTTAAAACAAACTATCGACGAATATCTTCTCAGTCAAAAATTTCGTAGCAATTTTAGCAGGAAAAATAAGAAATTGTGTTTGTAATATATTCCCAGACAGCACAAGAACTTTTGAGAACGTTCCAGGGATATTCTGAGGATATTGGGACGTTCTCAGAACGTACTCAGGACGTTCCCTGGATATCTGTGCTGTTAGGGTTTTAATTAAGTAAATAAGTTAATAAAGTTAACTAAGGTACCTAAATATGTAATCAAATTAACTAAATAAATAATCTTATAACTTTAATATTATAGTTATAACTGCTCGACAGTATAAAAGAAGTCATTCCAGCGTGAAGAAATCGAATGATTCTAATATATTATCAAGTACGATGTCGTGTGCAAATCGAAAGGAATCTTTTTCCAGCACCTATAAGGATTCATAGAAAGCCAATGGTAGGTATAGTGGAGTAAAGCAGAGCAATGAACGTTTACACGCCAAATAGTCTCTCAGTATTGTTTATTCAAAGAAACTTCGCGATCCGCGCTACCACTGGCGTGGTATGGCAACGACAACTTGTGTTAAATTGTTCTATCCAGATTGAATGAGGGTGTCGAGTAAGTCGACAGGTAACTCAGTAGTGCAGGGTCTTCTCGGTCTCCTTGTTGTGATAGATGAACACGTCCGTGTAGTACATGTTGGGCGTGAAGAACTTCCACGGGTTCATCGGTCGGTCGAGCGGGAAGCCGAATGGCTTGCCGTCCATCATGTACTTGCCGAAGATCGGCACTTCCACGTTCGTGATCTTGGTTTCGTCGAACGGACTCAGGTAGAAGAACATCTTGTAGCGCATACCCTCGGGTTTGCCCTTAGGTAAGTAGAGACGTTCAGGGAAGCCGAAGAGCTTCTCGTAGTAAGTGAACGGCTCGCTGCCGCCAACGGCCTTCTCCAGCTTCTTGTAGTATATATCGGCAGGCGTCATGTCGGGCATGGTGTAGGAGGATTCAGAGCTGCGACGGTCAATGGTGTTGGAGCCCGGTCTCACTGAAAGAAAAAAATACCGGGAACATGAGGCGACATGAACGATCGAATTTCTATTGAATTTCTCGAGGCAAAATCTTATTCGAAATGTGTGAGAATGCAAGCACTCCTGAATCGTAAGTCTCGCTCAAACTCTGAGTGATTTTAACAATTGGAAAATCGGACTTACGCGACACGACGAAATGATCCAGCTCGATGAAGTATTTGTAGTATTCGCGGAGGTAAGATAGGTCCTTCTCCTTGTGGTCGAAAGCGGGTCCGAGGAAAATCTTGAGCACGGCCTTGTACTCCTTGTCGCTGTTGATGTTGAAGTGGTAGGTGAACGGCTTGTAGTTGAGGCAGTAACGGCGGCTCTTCAGGCGCAACTTCATTCCATCCTTGAAGCTTTCTACGTCGACGGCGTTGTTGATAAAGGCATCGCAGTAATCGAAGTAAGTCTGCAGTTTGTCTACACTGACGGATTCGAACTTGACGCCGGGGAAGATCAGCTCGTTTTGAGTGTAGTACGGCATGTATTTCTTGTATCTGCGAGCAATAGAAAGAGAGAGATAGGTCAAAGCGCTCGACCATCGTAGACTTAAGTGAAAGAAGGATCGTTCACGAACCTGAAGAAATATGTCATGATCCTCTTGTAGAGACGGTAAAATCCTGGGTCTCTCATGCTGGTGCTGTAGCATTGGAGGGCGCTGGGGATCACCTTGTTCTTCTCCTTGTAGTCGAAGTTGAAGCCGAGGATATCGCGGGCGAGCGCGTCGTACATTCCGTAGAAGCGTCGGTTGCACGAGTCCACGTTACCTTCGATCAGGTTGGCGAGGATGCTCAGACCCTCCGGAGTGTAGATGTTGATCTTCTTGCCAGTCGTGTCGTACACGTAGCCGAGGTCGATGGCGTTCATGATGCGCATCTCCAAGGTCTCGATCTCCTGTGGGGAGTTGGCAAGATTTTCGGGGTGAATTCACGACATGGATAGATAAGTGAAACGGGGACGAACGGACTCACCTTCAGGTACTTGTACTTGTAGAAAGGTACGTTAGAGTAGCGTGGGCGTTGCGGCAAGGCGATTCCGTTGTTGTACATCAAGGTGGAATAGTAGCCGGGGAAGAAGGCCTTGTTCCAGTCGAAGTCTTCGACGTAGCCGAGATCGTTGGAGAGGCGTTCCAAGAAGTAACGAGCGTACAGCTGGTGGTGCTTGTAGTAGTAGAACTGGCCGCGGAAAGTCTGCGGGATATCGAATTCCTTCATATCGAGCCAGAACGGGAAGACCTGACGGATATAGTAATAGAAGGTGTTCAAGCTGTGATCCTCTATGAAGTAGTCCATCTTGTATTCCTCATCCAAGTAAGGCTTGACAAAGTTGCCGGAGTAGTTGGCATAGATCACATAGCTGTCGTAGTTGTCTACACCGGTGGTGGTGAGACCTGTTGTTGAGATGAGGAAAGAAGAAGACATTCAAAACAGAGTGACATTATGCGCCGTCGAATCGCTCCTCGATCGATCGATTCGCGAGAGCATATTGCGTCGGAATACGTTACCACGAGTCATCTTGATGCGGTGAGCCTCCTGGATGACGTTGCTGCCGAAGTACATATTGGGATAGATCTCGTAGGGAGCCGGCACCCTCATGTACTTGCAGTCGGGGCGGTAGAAGACCGCGACGGAGAAGGCAGACGTGAAGACGCCGTCATTGAGGTGGAGACGCGCCCAGGCGGCGGTTTTGTAGAAGGTCTGGAAGTCCTTGGCGTAGTAGAAGAGCTTGAAGAGCAGTTTCACCTCCTCGCGGTGCTCCTCGTAGTACGGCGAGAAAATGGCGTTGCGCTGAAGCATGCCCTGTCTATACAGGTACAAGAACTCCTGGACGATCGTCTGCAGAGAATCGAAGGGAAAGGGAAGATTAATTGGCAAAATTAACAAGTTGCAGAGTTAAAGAACGTTCGAAGTATTGAGAAATGGAAATTCTAGAAGGGCGAGTGATTGTTATTGATTTTTCAAGTATTTCTATTGATATTTTTAAGCATCTGTCGATCAAGTTCTGAAGAAGTATTCATGGCGATATATTTGTGTTTTCGCGATTTAAAGTTGAATTTTGGTCACCTTCTCCTTATACATGTCGATGTTGTTTTCGATGTCATAGTTGTGGCCGATCTCGTAGAACTCGGTGTCGGTGAGGGTGTTCTGCTTGACGAAGAACAGCAGCTCGTAGATCTTCTTCTGCTTGTGCAGGAAGTCCATGTCGGCGGTCTTACCCGGGAGGTGCATCGCGTCCGACACGCATAGCGCCGCGAGCGCCAGCAACAGCAGTTCCTTCAACATCTCGTTCAACCTTCGACGTCTTTCCTTGGTCTTCAGCGACTACCTCTGCGAGTCGACAGAGGCGGTGGATAGCTGATCGACGTATGGCCCACGCCAGCTTTTATACCGGTGAAACCCCTGTGCGATTTCATTCTAATCGGCTGGCCTTAACCCCAGCGACCTGTCTAGGTGCCGTCCATATTCTCGTCTCCGTTATCTGCGCTCCGCGTCGCACCTTCCGAATACACCCCCGCTCACACAAATCATAAGAAAACGAAAAAATCGCGATTCCACGGAAATTTTGCAAACGCCAGATAAGTCGAGATCTCATGTTATGTGCGGATTGTTGTATTTATTTCATAAAATAATTCCATCTCGATGTCTCGTTATCTCGCACGGTATGTCGCAAATTTGCGAGCAATACTGCCTATAAATCGATTAGAACGAATCGAATTCTCTCGGCGAGGAGGAAAGACTTGCCAGGTATTCCATCGCGAATCGAAAGATCAAGAAACACAATAGTACTTCTCGAAATATTTTATGAAACGTGCCGTACGTTATTTACGACTTTATCTCATAAACGTCTAAAGCAATTTTTAAATTTATAAATTCAATGTTGCGCGACACTGTGATGTACATCGAACATGTACTGTGAACATAAAAGTTTGAAGATGGTAATCAATATTCTAAGATAAGTCGAGAATACCTAATAGAGATTATTGTTTAATCTGGCAATACGTTTACTTTCCGTTAACTGTTATCTCTGGTGTTCTTCATGTTTTCACTTTGCCTGGGCAATTACTGCGATAACGACTGATGTAATTAATACGATATCTATATGCACGTTTATATAAAACGTTCAGCGAAATTCCCGCTCGCAAACAAGATTACATTAACAATAAAAAAGAGAAACGGGAGCCAGCTGCTTTCGTCTTTCGCAGTGCAACGTTTATTATCATTGACGATACACAAGGGCATAATTTTACTTAGGGTGCAAATTAGATTCTAAACTTGAGATTTATGTGCAATATACACGAAGAAAATATTGTAGTAAAACATTATGTTAAAATTATATTTCTTTTCATAATCCAGAACGTCCACAGCACAGATCTGAGATTATCTTGAATGTATTTAGGAGGTCTTAAGACACTTCCCAGGATATCTATTCAGAAGAACTCTGAGATGTTTTATGCTGTTTGGGGATATTTTTTGCGAAACTGAACTAAAATTATATAATAATAATTTTGTGTATAAATTACTGTATTGAGAACGAATATTTGAAAATTTATTTATTGTGTATGTGGATATGAAGTTTACTTTTTAAATAAAGTTCATTTTTGTGAATAAATATTCACATATAAAGTTTCAAGAATAATATTCTTTTCTCACTGTAAAAATAGTAAATTTAACGATCTAACTGGTATAAGGCATAAAAAATGTTCTAATAATTATCTCAACGAATTAGGCAAGATATTATTTTTTAAAAGCTACTTACAGAATATAAAATAAAAAGTACTAAAAATTTTATAAATTTGAAAAAAGTAAAAATTTCGGATGATCCTTTTGGTACTTATTATTTGGACTCTAGGGTTGGGTTTTTAAAGATATTTATTTTTATTACAGATATAAAATACATATCGTATACACTTATAAATGCGAATTTAAGCTGTAATTGCCACACACCGTCAATTATCGAACTGATAGAGTCGTTGCCGGGCGAAGGGGATATTCGAGAGATATTTGTTTTGCAGGTTCACGCGGGAGTCAGATTTACACGCGGAGTACAGATATTTGACGACACGCGCCAATTTATCGTATAGTCTTTTAGGGTTTATCATGTTTATTCAACATTCGTTGAGATTCGATTGCTCTCGAGCAGTTTAAACCGTCAAATAACAAAATTAGCTCGATAACGCGCTATACACAAGTAATTTCGTTACACCGCGAGCAAAACACAAATGACAGGGCGAGTGATTACGGGTGTTCGTACTTTTCCATTATTATTCATAGTGTGGGTCCGTTATTGATAAGACAGTTACGTAGGTAGTGATTTTATGTGAAACAACAAATCGACCCGAACAGCATACACCTCCAAGGGACGTGAACATCCTAGAGACATCTTTATGTCCTCAAGACGTCTCCAGAACGTCCTCAAGATGTCCCTTGGAAGATCTGTGTTGCCTGAGAAAGATGTGCAGGATGAAAGTTTTTTTTATATGGACTTTTATCGTTACTTCGAGCAAACTTTTCGTCTTGAGAATTGGGAGAATTATATCGTTTATCATTTTCAAGTATAACGTTTAAATTGTATAACGTTTAAATATCTCGTGACACATAAATAATCCAACATATCTCAACAGCAGCTTTCAAAAAGTAATAAAAGGTTAGCAAAATCGTCGAACAAGTTATTTTTTAAACATTTAAGGTCATTTATATATTTTTTAAATGTATCATTTTCTTCATTTACATAGAATTATCTCTTAGAATTCTATTAGTGTGAGAGAGTTGTTTTTTCTATTTATTTTACTAATTAATTTTGCTATGTGCACGAAAATTTAAAGAAATGATATGTAGAGATTATGAAAAATATAATTCAACCAATTATAGCTTATTATTTATTATTGTAATTACATGACTTTAAGAAATCACATTTTTTACATAATTAAAATATCGATGTGAGAGTTCAACTAAAGGATGAGATTGAAAATTGCACAATCGCTACCTCACACAGCAAAGGGAAATCTGTGGAATTTCCTAAAGATATCCTGCCGGAATATTGCAATATCCTACAGATATCCCATAGAAGTCATGGATATATGAGAGATATTACTAGAATACACTAATGTCCGCAGTTACGAACACGTATAGATATTGCATATTGTAGCGAAATATATTTGTTTAATATCCCTGAGATCTCTGATTATTGCCGTGTAAAGGAAAACCCCGGAAGATATATCGCACGTATATTTTACAAATTCATTAGTGATAATTATGGTAGATAGTCTGGATATATCTGGGAGAATGTTTATGATAATAATAATAACTAAATTTATACTGCTTACTTAATATGCATATCAATAAATATATAATTAGTACAAAAAGTGCTTAGTAAGTCAATTTTATACCGATATACTAATTTATATGCATATTAAACAATTATCAATATAATGTAGACATTAATATTATAGCTGAAATTATACAAAATAGAATTACACCAAATACGATAAATATATCTTTGGTGGAAAGATTTCTCAGAATCTCAGAAAATTCTTACAATTTTTTCAGATTTTTTACATGAATTGGAATATCTCTCAGTTTATTGTATAACACACGGGTTGTATAAAACCTATATTGTTCAATTAGGAATTATAACTAACAGATGTTTACTGATAGATTGTTATGAGTATTCTGTTTATATATATTATCTAATAACTACAAGTTATCACCTATAATAAGAATGTTACATGAACTAACGCAAATGTTATTAATCATAAATTTAATGTTAATCTATTCACGTGAAGTGTTATGATATCCTCGTGCAATGCAAGCTGCAGTTGTGTTGAAGTCATTTCTTTATTAGTCGCAAGTAATGCCACATTTTTAGCTTTTCTGAAAGAGAAAAAGTTTTGCTCTCGGTAATTATTCAGTTTAGGCCCTTCACTTTCGATGAAAGTAGATTCAATCGTCGCGTTTTTGCACGAGAAACGACTTTTTCATCTGACAAACTCGTCGCTCTCTACTGCGAAACGAAATATTAGCCGACAAATTTGATCACTATTAAGATTAAAAAAACTCTCTCTCTCTCTCTCTTTCCCCCTCTCCCTTTCCCTCTCTTTCTCGCTCTCGCTCTCGCTCTTTCTCTCTCTCTGTTCATTTTACTTGGATTTAGACCTTTTTTTGCGGCTCTTTCATCAAAGTGTCAAAAGATACGTTTCTCAAAAGAATCACAGGTCCGAACATGTTTGAACACGTTTTAATGTAACGGCAGTTAAGTCGGATGGAAAACTCATACCGGCAACAAACAGCGAGATGTATATGCTCCATAGTCACTTGTACATTTTCTATAGTTTCCGAAATATTAATAAAAAGATGCCTATCTCTAGCCATGTATATGCTTTATATCTTATACTTATCTTTAAGATGTCTGTACGATATATTTTACACATTATCGTATTTGAGATAAGATATCTCTTGGATATTGTATACGGGGATATTTTCGAAATTGGTTCATTATGATATACGGATGATATTATCAGGAGATTGAGATATATTTCGCATATCCGCGATGATTTTAGTATATCCCATAGATATCAATTGCTGTGTGAGTGTATGAAGTTGGCACCCCACTTTTTGAAATTTATAATTTTGAAAGTTGCTCCAGATTGTTCTGACTTTGTACCACATTGTTCCAAAGTGATATTGCTTCATTCGAAACGGTTTTCGAATAAAACAAAAAAAATTATTTTTTGAGCTGGCACCCCACTTTTCGAAAATCGAACATTCTGATACCGCAATAGATTGTTCTAGTTGTTCCAAACATTGTTCCAAAAGAACAAATCCGTAAGTTGAATTATAAATCCAAAAAATAAAAAAAATGTTTTTGACCTGGCACCCTATTTTTTGAAAATAAAGCATTCCGATATCGATATAGATTGTCCTAGTTGTTCCAAACATTGTTCCAAAAGCACAAATCAATAAGTTTAATTATAAGCCCAAAAAATTAAAAAAAATTTTTTTGACAAACAGTCTATCGGACCAAGAGTAAACTTATACTATCTTTCTTGTTCCAACCGAGATCTTTTTGTTCTGAGTTGTTCTAAGCTTAAGAATTATAGTTCTAGAGTATGAGACTCATAAGATCATTCGTTCTCCGAAAATTCGTAAAAAAATCGATTTGACAGTACTCGACGTCAAGAGTAAACACATGCTTCCTTTCTTGTTCCAACCGAGATCTTTTTGTTCTGAGTTGTGCTAGGCTTAAGAATTATAGTTTTAGAGTATGAGACTCGTAGCGTCATCCGTTCTCCGAAAATTCGTAAAAAAGTCGATTTGACAGTACTCTGGGATACTCTAAAAAGATTATATTTTATGTTCCAATAGTTACTTTAGTCATTTATTAACAATTTTTTGCAATAACAATTTAAATTTGCCGAAATCGACAAAAAATGTAATTTCGTAAAAAAAATTCATAACTTAACAACATATTAAAATTAACAAAAATATTTTCAGGTTTTTTTAGATGAAACTATTTTCTTAAAAAAAAAAGTTCTATATACTGATTTAAAAAAGTATAATTATTTGGATGATTGAAAATAAGGATGATTGAAATATATTTCTGAGGTGACAAAAATTCAAGAAAAAGATGATTTCTTACAAAAATTAATCTTTATTATAGGAAAATTGGTGGAAATAATTATAAAATGTCATGACAAAATAAAGTGAAATTGCTTGGTCGTTTAAGCCTAGTATAACTCAGAACAAAAAGATCTCGGTTGGAACAAGAAAGGAAGCATGTGTTTACTCTTGACGTCGAGTACTGTCAAATCGATTTTTTTACGAATTTTCGGAGAACGAATGATCTTATGAGTCTCATACTCCAGAACTATAATTCTTAAGCCTAGAACAACTCAGAACAAAAAGATCTCGGTTGGAACAAGAATGATAGTATAAGTTTACTCTTGGTCCGATAGACTGTTTGTCAAAAAAATTTTTTTAATTTTTTGGGCTTATAATTAAACTTATTGATTTGTGTTTTTGGAACAATGTTTGGAACAACTAGAACAATCTATATCGGTATGGGAATGCTTTATTTTCAAAAAATGGGGTGCCAGGTCAAAAACATTTTTTTCATTTTTTGGACTTATAATTCAACTTACGGATTTGTCCTTTTGGAACAATGTTTAGAACAACTAGAACAATTTATTGCGGTATCAGAATGTTCGATTTTCGAAAAGTGGGGTGCCAGCTCAAAAAATAACTTTTTTTGTTTTATTCGAAAACCGTTTCGAATGAAGCAATATCACTTTGGAACAATGTGGTACAAAATCAGAACAATCTGGAACAACTTTCAAAATTATAAATTTCAAAAAGTGGGGTGCCAACTTCATACACTCTTGCTGTGTGGGACTTTTCACTTAATATACTTCGGCGAAAAACAACGTTATGATTTTAATGCTTTTTCAAATTAGAAGTTTCGAGCTGCAAAATACTTTTTGCGCTATCTTATTATCGTCATTTTATCGAAGTTACAATTCGTTAAATTTTACATATTTGTCAAGACAGAGTGAAAGCGTTTGTGTGTGTGATGTGAACTGGTATTCCTAAACAATACGAATATCTAAAAATATCTAAAAAACATTTGAAAACGTGTAAAAAATATCTAAATCAAAGATAACATCTTTTGAATGGCTTTAAGGAATCTTTTAATGTTTATATTGTCTGGATTGTGTGAATCTAATATTCGAGAAAATAAAAGTACTTCTGATTTGATAAGTTATACTACAACTTCAATTTCTCATTCAGGAAAATGCTTATTGAGGAAAATGCTGGTTCATAGCGGAGACTTTAAAAATAGTTTGAAATAATAATCAACTCTCTGAAGAGTCGCATTCTGGATACTAAATACGTATTTCTGATTTCCTAATTGAAAATACGATACGTGACGTTTATAGCAGAAAAATGTGAGACTTATAGAATCAAAACACAGCTAATTTAACCTAATGCGTATTCAATACAAAACCCTTATATCAGTGAAGCGCGATTAGCGATTGAATAGCATGTCTTGCGCCATCTAGCAGTGTTGCGAGAAACCCGAACGATATCCTTCCTTCCTTCCTTCAATACTTGGCTACAGGTGCTGCCACGGCTCATACCCCAACGCCATTACTCAATCTGAACGACATCTGTTCTGTTCTGTTTTGTATTGGCTCCGGGGAAAAAGGTTATCCCCATACGCCATTCTCCAATCCTTATATGAGGTATGAATGAATAAGGTCTTGGCAGGTTCCAAGGCAACTTCTAAAAATCACTGGTCTGAATTTGATCAGACACATCTTACCGTGCCGGCTGACGGCTCGCCTCCACCCGAACGACATGTGGTCTCTGTTAAATGGTTTAAGGCCGGTATTCATAGTCGAAACTTATTTGAAGACCGTCTTAAGTAATGTCTTAAGATACGAATATGGCTCTGTGATTGGTTCATGACATCTTAAGACAGTATTTAAGATAATCTTAAATATAAGATCTGACTATGAATACCGGCCTAAATATCAGCAGAGAGAAGCATGAGAGCGACCACCAGCTTGATTTCAGTGATCAGTACTAGACACATTTTCGAGATTCCATCTAAAGCCCGTATCAGACTATAGATTAGGACTATAGATTGAGATTGAATTGAAATTTAGCCAATCAGAGCAGAATTCACTAAGCTCAAGTTTGGTGAACGAGTTTTAAGATATATCGAGTTGAACGAAGAATGGTGATGTTCAGTTAATCTCATCTTTCACTTTAAATTTTTATTACATCAAAATCATTAAAATTTTCATTACATCAAAAATATAACAAATGCATCTTAAAGAAGGAATTGTCAGCTTCCTATGTATTTGTTAATGACGTTATATGTCAACTCATTAACTTTCTGCAATTACAGCCGAAAGGATGCTTTTTGCTTCAACGGTAAATAAGTTGATGAAGAAAAAAGCAACGTAAGTTACGAGTTAAATTAAAGAGGAAGATGTGCGTTTTCATTGATAAAATCTTCTCGATGCTTAAAATAAATTTGCGCTCGATGAAAAAAATAAATTTGTAAAAACTCCTTGTACACGAGACGCAAAGGCATTTCAATCATTCCGATATCAATTACATTTAATATTATTTGTCGTATTCCTGTAATAGTGAATTCGGTAGCTTGCACTAGTATGCGCGTTAAGGCTTGTTTACAATACATTTTTATATTTAAGATCGTGTTTTAAATACACATTTAAAAACATTTTAGCTAATAAAATAATTTGTATGGATGTTGTACATATCATATTACTGGTTAAAAATATTTGAGAATTTATTTAAGACAATCTTTAAATATAATAACATATTATGAACAAGCTTAGTGCGCACTCAGTACGCACTAGTGCAAGCAACCGAATTCGCTATAAGATGAGTAACCTTCTTCCTCTCCGAACGCTCTCTATACATATGTTGCATTTCGAAAATATATAGATTCAAAAATTTAAAAGTCATTGCCCCCGCAGAACCCCCAAGCGAGAGAATCCGGATGCGCAACGCTCTCTGTGATAACGTTGATTGGTTAACGAAACACGGTTCAACATGGAGTACGTTGGTACGTGCTAAATCCTGTTTATTTTTCGTGCTTTCTGCAAAAATTTTCCTCGTATGAGTACTCCTTCGTTCCCCTTTACCGTCTCCCCGCGCGATCGCTCAGAAAAAGCGAGTCTACTGTCTAACGTGTCGCTATGTTCCGCCGGAACGCGCTATTGTATACGGTGTGTGTTGTGTACGCCAGATAATTTTACCACTGCGATAATTGTATTTTTCATCGAAATCTCCCGAGTGTGGCTTTTCAGATCGACCTCGATACCGATGCAGCAACGTACGTTCGCACGCAATTTATCGCTGAAACACGTGTACTTCCGTTCTCGAGTAGACTCTGCTGGAAATCTTAACCTTTCGGTCTCGTGCAAGAGTCGTTTGCGCTTCTTTGCACGCTGATTTTGTTGATCGAATAGCTGTGTCGTATGACCTTTATGTTGATTTACGATTAGATTACGCTCGAAGAAATCCGCTGTGCGAAAAAGAAGGTTTGTACATCTTACAGATATTAATTTTTGCGCAACCTTTTGTCTATTCAGATACAGCCAAGGATGACAACAGTGACAAGTGTTGCTGCTCGTCGCCTCGTTCAGAAGTGATATCAACTTCGAAGTCTACTGAAAACTTGATAGCAGAAGTGAAGGAGAGCACCACGCAACATGAGAACAATGTTAACGAGTCACAGAACACGACTGCAACTACCTCGGAAGAACCACCCACAGAAAATGTAGACTTCAAAGTGATCTACAACAAGCAGAAAATTAGTGTGAATTTTCCCTTAGATGGTACTGTTGCCGACCTAAAGACACACTTGCAGAAAATTATCTCAGTACCACAGGCAATGCAAAAGGTCATGTTCAAAGGATTAGCCAAAGATGATCAGACTCTTAGGAATTTGGGAGTAACAAAAGGTAAAGATCAATCATTGTGTAAATTGAAAGTGCTGCTAAAGCTTCAGTGATGGTTATATCATTGTTTATATTTGAAATCATCATCATTGTATGATATTGAAGGTGCCAAAGTCATGATAGTTGGATCAAAGTTAGATGATGTATTAGCTGTGTCAATTCCAACTAAACAAGAGCTCAATGATGAAGCTGTTTCTTCAGCGAGTAAGGAACCCCTTTCACAACAAAAGATACATAGGAAAGTTTTAGACAAAGGTATTCCGGAGGATGTAATGCCAGGAATATTAGATAGCAAGGTACAGCAATTTATATAGAACTAGTTTTATGTTGTGTGATAAAAGGGACATTGACTCAACTAACCGACTGACTGTGCAGGAACCTTTACCCGAATTTCCACTGGCGGGGATGTTAAATAAATCCGGAGGGAAGGTGAGATTAACGTTTAAATTGGAGCAAGATCAACTGTGGATCGGCACGAAGGAAAGAACAGACAAAATACCCATGAATTCTATAAAAGGTGTCCACAGCGAACCGATTCACGATCATCCCGAATATCATATTATGGTATGTTGCTTGTGACTTATGGCAGATTTCATGATCATTCACTAATAATAATCTGAGTGATAAATATACAAAAGGGATAATTAAGAGTCAACGCCGATCTTGGAGCGGTAATTTATAAATGTATTACCTACTATTGCAAATAGCATAGGTTTTGGTCCCTGATTTGGACCCTCTTTTAGCGAAATATGAAACCAGAGTTAACCAGCAATGACAGAGAGACTGTTGTTCGAGACTTTTGACTCTCGTCAAATCTCTCACCCTTATACAGAGGTAGAACCTCAAAAGAGACTTATCCCTCCCTCTGATTTCATTCCCTTGATACTTTGTGATAATTTTAGTAAAGATGTCGTAGATATATATAAGAAACCCAAGAAACGCCGGATAATTTAACTTAGTAAGCAATAAAGCTCATTCATAAAGTACGCAAGTACTATAAACTGATTGATGCAGTTCGAAGATCTCATATGAATTACGAAACGTTAAAATAAAATTTTGTTTTATATTTTGCTGAAGAGAGTCCAAATGTATGGGACTCGAAATGTACGTAATCTGATTTATTTGTAATGATAGATAATAAATGACTTCGTCTACAAACTATCGTTTCGAGATCGGCATTGGCTCTTGATTGCACCTTTCGTACATTTTTTTCTCATAGAGTTTCTATTCTATTTAATCTTGGTGACGATCTTGAAAACTCGCAGGCAATACAATTAGGCACTACAGAAGCATCGAGATACTGGATATATTGGGTCCCTGCGCAATACATATCCGCTATTAAAGACGCTATTCTTGGCAAGTGGTGTTACTTCTGATTGATAGTCGATGGAAATTTCTATTTCTGTAAAAGCAAAGTTTAATCAGATGTAAACTTAAACACAAACACGACTGTACTAGTCACACATATTTCTCTAACAGTAAGTAATAACTTATTTTGAGTTGGATTATCATCGAGGAATACCCAATAAACGTAGTCTGTCCCACTGAGAAAATATTTTAGGTGACTAGTCTTGATTTATTGGGAAAAACTGATGTAACTACACTATACGCTAATGTTTTGCATCTTCATAGTCGAGATTTAATTATAATCGGAATTTTTCTTACACAATTGGATGTAAGTTAAGCAGTCCTTTACACGAAAACTGTGATTAGTAGAACTTCCATAATTGACAATGCGTTGTGATAATATTATACGTTTGCTTACGATTATATATTTCTTTTTTTTTTAATTTATCGAAGCGTCGTATTTACCAATTTTATATTGTAGATCTTGTAGAAACGTTTTATACAAGTCTACAATATCATTACATTGATTTGGTTTGTTTAAATACCTTTGGCCAATAAAACTGTTAATTTTTTATATATATAGCAGCACAAGAGTCATAATATTGGAATTGATTTTATGCCAACATATTATTTTATTCTCAAACAAGTCGCGATGATTTTTATAAAATTGTCACTATAGATGGATTAAAATCATAACATTGCATTTATAAGCAAACTTTCAAAATAATCGTTATCTCTGGAACAATAACGATCTCTGGAAAAATAACGATTCCTACAACGCGAATAATTTGTTAAAGTTCTTGCGTAACATGCTCAGTTTATCGGATAATTGATGCGATCGTATGCATACAAACACACAAACATACACACTCGCTATGATTTGAAATCTATTCGAAATCTACTTTCGGTACATGTTAAGCTTTGACAAAGTTTTATATATTTTTATTGTAGTTTCTGCGACAAAAAAGATATATATATATATATATATATATATATATATATACATACATATATATATGTTTACGAATCTTTTTTACTGTATAATAAAAGATACGTTTCTTTTTGCATAATATCAGCTACAGTACTTTGTATCACCGTCAGATAGAGTTATGACCAATGTCTACATTGAAGAAAAAAAAAAAACAGAAAAAGAAGACAAAAAGAAAAAATGTCGACAAGCTTAGATTTCAATGTGATTGCGTCGACTTGACGGAGGAGTAACAACGAATTTCACGCTAAATAAAATTAGAAAATCCACTCAGTCGCGATTGGCCTACAGTGACGCGAATTAAGGACTCTCGAGAGAACTAAGTTAAATCGATTTTCATCGCTATTTCACGATTTGTAAGAACTCTATGCTGTAAGAAAAAGACTTGCGTATGTGCTCTTTAGTACTGTAACTGTAAATTAGGTTTTATACCGTCTAATACGAACCGTCTAACAGCGTGAATAAGATAATAACAAATCAAAATTTACTACAAAATGATATTACCCTGCAGTTAACGACTGTCCGTGTGAGTCGAAAAAAAAAGATCTACTTCGGAGGTCGGTTCGAATGGGACTTGTACATTATGTTGTGTGATTTGATAAAATAAATACTTCTGAGACTTTCGCTCTTTTATCGCTTCTCAATCTCTCTCTTTTCTCCATTTTTTCTTCTCAGCCTTTCCATACCAATGCGAGATTCACGAGTACGACGAAGCAATAACACAGGGTAGAATTAGTTTGATGCGGTTGCACGCGTAGGAACGCGCCAGGACGCACAAGTCTAGCTTTTTCTAGCTGCGGCGCAGGCAGGGAACACGTGTCGGGCACATGGTGCAGGAAGCTTCTTGTTAAAGTACTTAGCCGCGGCTAAGCGGAGTCGGTCTTCCATTTGAAAAGCAGATGCGAGCGAGCAGTTGGAAGGAGGATCCCCACCAGCCAGGAGATGAATGTCTCCGCTGCGTAATCGATAGCCGCTCCTCAGCAGCCGCAGCAGTCGCGCGTGTATGTAGCCCAAGGCCGAGCGAAATGTCGCGCGTACAGGCGTAGCGTATGAACCACAGAGATCGTGTCATTCGTCAGAGTACGTGTTTATTATTCCGTCTTGTGAGCCTTCGCCAAATTAACAGTTGGTCCGATCGAAGAATCGGCCTTTATCGTCGTGAGAGAAATGACGCGTCGCCTCGGGCATTTATCGCTCGAATCATCTCTTATCATCCTCTGTCAATGTAAACAATTAGAAGTCAAGAAGATATAAGCAATGCGAGTGATTAATGTGGCCTATACAGATAATCCGGTTTCTGTGCTGCTATACACATCTGTGGACGACAAACGTGAGCGCCGACGCGCCAAGAATGTCGAAAGCGATGGTTAAAACGTATCACAGAAAAATGTGGTGTTGCAGGTAATCCTCAGCGTTACGTTATCAAGGGAGCAAGTTGCTTTTGCAAAACAAAAGGCAACAATATTCACGAATTTATTTCGAGAACACTACATGTTTAAATTTTATATATGTAATTCGGTTATATATTTGTGCATATAACAAATTTATTTTTTATGCGGAAATGACATCACGGCATTCAACAGTGCTTCGAGTCTGCAGCCTCCCTGGTTTATGATTTACGTTTACGCAATAGTCTAACGAAAAAACGATAAAAGTTATTCTTATAAAATAGTGTTGTAGTCTGTCAGACCAGAATTTTTCTTTTTTTCAAAATAAATACGAATGTATGTATTTCTTGTTGCTTTCTCCGGCCTGAAAAAGTAATTTGTCTCTTAATTAAGATTCTACATTAAAAAATATCAAGATATCATTACGTATATATATTTAGAAATTTATAGCCATAATTAGTGGAGTATCGAAAGCTGGTATTATTCCACCGTGTAAGATCAAGAATCTGAAGTTCAACGTACCGACGTTCTTAAGAAGCTGCAAGAAGGGAGACGACTCTTCCGAGAACTTCCTGTCCAACACGGTGGAGAATAATGCGAGCGATACATCGATCGAATGAACAAAGAGCGATTTGAATCCTACGTTAGAATGGCAACGGCATTGGAAAACAATGCGGAATCCGTACGAGAGGCGTTTCTCAAATTAACCGAGGAATACATCCGCCGCGGGGCCGCGACGTACGATTTAAAATCCGTGACGTTGAACGCGAAGAATCGCGGTCTCGCGGTTCTGCAGCGCGAGCACCGGAAGAGAGTGCTGGCGGTGTTGCTGGCGCCGATCCTCTACAGCCTGATCCACGGCGGGTATCTGCGCGCGACGAATCCGCTGAGGAGCATCCAGGAGACGCGATGCCTGTTGCCGAACAATTATCTCGTGTGGGAGTTCACGAGGCCTGTGTCGAACTGCGACTATTGCCGCGACGTCGACGCGCCGTTGATCCTGCCGAATTTGACCAGGGAGGAGTTCCGCGCCTATTCCTACTCGTCGCGACCCATGATCATTAAAAACGCCACCCACGATTGGCCAGCGCGCAACGAATTCACCCTGCAATTCTTCCGGGATCTGTACGAGCGCACCGAGGGTGCTTACGAGTCCGTAGAGGAGGAATGCCAGTTCTTACATTTCAAGAGCGACTTCGCGAACCTGCGCGAGGTCTTCGCGATGAGCGAACGGCGCGCGTTGCACCGCGACGGCGAGAACGCCTGGTACGTCGGCTGGAAGAACTGCCATCCGCGGGTTTTGGACGCGATGAGGCCTTTTTACAGCGTGCCCCGCTTCTTGCCGGAGGACGCCGAGATCCCGTACAGCAATTACGTTTTCTTGGGCTACGAAGAGGGTGCCGTTATGCACGTGAGTATTTTACAGATGGAGTGGGGAGTAATTCGCAGGAGGTAATGATCGGAGAGAGGCGATCTCTCGATCTAGTGTAAACTCGTGAAAATTTTCAAATGTTTTTCAATTAGACAATCTTCACTTTTCACGCTGGAGGAAAAAATTTATGATCGATCCCGAAAGTTGGGAGTTTCTCTTTAAAAGTGACTTTTTTTTATCATTGTTACTAAGTAAGTCATTACAATGTAATTGCGTTAACATTATCGTTCCTAACGAAGAAAAATAACACTGTGTTACTAAGATAAAAAAAAAGAAAAAAAAAACAATACAAAATCTCATAAAAAATATCCAGGATGCCCTGAGAAATGAGGATATGTTGAGGAATATTCTCAACACATCCAGGACAATTTCAGCATGTCTTATGTTATCTAAGAAATAATGATGACAAAAAGTTGTTTCCCAACCTTGGACAAAAGGTATATACCGACGGCACTTATAAAGCATTTTCCAATCCCTCTTGCAGCTCGATTACATCTCAAGGCTCATGTGGCAGGCTCAGGTAATCGGCAGCAAAACATGGACCGTGGCTCCCACGCCGGAATGCGACAGCGAGTGCAAATCCTTCGAATTCTCCGTCGACACTGCGGACGTCGTACTGTTGGACACGCGCATCTGGTACCACAGCACTTACGTCGAGAACGGCGAGCTCAGTTTAACGGTCACTTCCGAGTACGGGTAGATTTTTAATAACCTTTTTTAATAGCCTTTTGAAGTCTAATTAGAGACTCTTATTGGAGACTGAAGATTGCGGAAAGATTACAACTTGACCAATCGAGACGAAGCGAGTCGAGATTGATTTATCAAATTCTAATCTCTAATCCGCAGTCCTCAATCTCCAACATCCAGTCTGATACGGGCTGATGCTTTACAGACTGCTTGGATAGGATTTCAAGCAGTGCTCTTCTTCCTTTTTATCCGTCCGCGAGTATCAGAGGATACACATACCAGGTACAATTCATACATCAACTTGTGAGCTTCAAGTTGCCGTTGATCCGCCTGTTTGCGTTTCAACGGTCGGTACTGACCTATTTCTTTCTTTCCTCGCATGGTATCACCTCGATTAGTAAAACTGTCGAAACGAATGAATAAATTAAACGCATATTATTAAGAAACGAATAGCTCATGACAGAAATATCTCGAGGACTTCCTAGCGTAAGTTTTCTCTCATTCAATTGTACATAGATAATCCAGAGGAAGATCCATATTGATCTTCGCCTTTTATACTCGACTACATCACTGCGCCACACGATGTATCGTGTAATTTTTGTCTTGTAACTTTTAATAAAAAAATTGAGAGAAAGATTTGCGCGTACGTTTCTAGCGAATGCGTGTGTGGTCGTGCGGATTGATCATCCAAAGAGAGAGAGACAGAGAGAGAAGGATATATTCACATGTGTAAACTTTTATTGTATAGTAATATAGAATCGCGTGAAACACAACAATACAATCGGTTCCCGAAAAGAACGTTAGAAATCATTCTAAATACTGGTGTTAATACGTGACGGCGTCGTCGCGGGTACTCGCGATCGCACTCGTGCTCTACACATCACGTGACGCTGCATCAGAGAGAAACAGTGGTGCGTGTTCGGCGTACGTGTCTTCGAGGCTACCTCGTTCGGATAACGAGGGAACTTGCTGTGTAACAAACATAGGAACACTTTGTTACGTTAAATGCGAGACGAGACAGAATTTTGCGGTGTTTGCCCAAGGTGGAATGCGTATCGATTGCGTTATATAACTCACTGGTGTAACACGCACATTCTCACTGGTACTTCTTCGTGTAAGCCGGTGGACTTTCCTGAAAATTACCGACAAGATTTATATCTCACGTGTGCGTTAAAAGATTCTCCGAGCGCGCTATATTACATAGCTGCATAATATCCAAATATTGGCTATTTATGTATTTACGATTATCTTTATTGCGATATTTTATCGTTATCTATATCGAGATAAGATATATACGATGTATTTATTCGTGATAAAATCAGAAAGAGAATAATAGCGCAAGGTGAGACGCCGCTGTCTTTGTTGCATCAAAGGAAAACAAAGATAAAGAACGAGACGGAAAGTCAATGAGAGCCAGTACAGATTGTTCATTTTGCGAGACTTACAATAAAATTTATAAAATATATATATTATAAGCACGTTATCAGGCGGGTCATAATTACTGAAAAGAAGAATCAAAAAGACGAATTTTTGTCTTATTTTTTCCATTGTATACCTAAGAACCTTATTAAATTACTACTTCTTTTTGGTACGCCAACAGAAAAATAAAGATAATTTAGAGATTATTTCTCTCAAAAGAAGAAAAAATGTAGAATACATATCTGCCACTTTCTTCAAAAAGATCTATTAAATTTTTAGTTATTGCATTCTATAGATCAATTTTTTTACACATTTGAATAAATTATACTTACATAATACTCTGGAGGTGGAACGTAAGCACACTGAGGCCTGCTGGGATCGTAATATGCATTCTGCGCATCTGCAGTAGCCTTTGCATCTGACGAATAAAAAAGGATGACGTGGAATATATAAATATATAAATATATACACATATACACATATAAACAATGCACTCGGACGTTACAAATTAATAATATATGACGTATCGCTACGACAACAATAAACTTTAATCAGTTCTCGCAAGAGATCGAAAATCGTAAATTTTTTCGTTAAACATTAAATTCTAACATCAATGAACGTCTCAGTAAAATTCCTGGTACATTGGCGATGTCATCACACGTATAATTCACATAAGGTTAGTGTTATTATCAATATTAAGAGAATACATACAAACGTTATTTCTACTTGATGGGCTCAAGTTCTTTTGATTTGGCATGATTTCGAATTTTTATTTCTCTTGAAAGTTCTTGTTTTTGGAATTTTGTTACTTTTGGAATTTAACTGTTATTTATTATCAGTTATTTATTATAAGCTCGCATAATCGACTTATAAAAGCGCTCCGTTTCACTGCTGCAAAACGCCACTATACATTACGCGGTAATATAATTCTTGCAATATTAACTCCTTGGTGAGAAATTTCGAAATCGTCTAATAGTCTTAACGCAGTAATTTTTAACTCGCTACTTGCGCCACTACACTCGTCAAATGTGCAGATGCAAATTGTTTGACAGGTCGGACGACAATCACATATGTCCGCGCTCTCATTTACATATATATAAAGATCTAATATGTTTAAAGTTCACGTTTGTCCAAGTCTAGTACACTATGACATAGATCAAGAATGACAGAACACAAAAACTTGACTGAATCTATCCACCCAAGCCGTCTTCGTTCTGTCTATGACAACTATGAGATAATAACTGAGTAAAGTGAAAGTCAATCTTGTTTCAGATCGTGTAAGGACGCAATACTCGTTGCGCAATACTCTTGCGTTGCTTAATACACTAAAAACTTTCAATTTTAGCGCGCAAACCTCATTTATTTTTGCAGTTGTCGACTGTAAGTTTGGCTTCTTTTTTTTTCATAAATTTCCAACAAAAAATATAATCTCAGTTTGACAGGTTTAAATAAAAAACAGCAAATTGTCCTTTAATTAACATTTAATATCGTATTGTTCGTTGCTATTTGTCTAATATAACGTGTCTTATAATTTCGTGAAATTAACAGAGGAATAAGAATCCGGCAATGCGCGTTCAGCGCAATTGCGAGAAATTACATTGTGCGAGCTATCAGCACTTAGAAAAGTACGTATGCTCGTTTCAGCGTGTAGAAACCGCATTCCGTTATTCACCGTCGGTGACTGGCAGCATCGTTCCACCTTCGTTGTATCACAGAATGTCGGAACGAAGGTGAAACGATACCGTCGATACCGACAATGAATAAAAAGAAACAACCGTGCTGTCCAAAGAACAAGTTTCGGGAAAATCGCTCGTCCCTCTCCTCTCGAAAGCGTTCTCTCTCGAGAATATATTCATTCGTAAGCTTCTCCAAGTATGAGATATTTGAAAATATATGCACATTGCTCACATCCGATATAATTCGATGTGGCGTTTTCAGATAAGCGTTGTTTTTTTTTTTTTTTCTTTTCATCGCATTGTTGCTCGTAGCTTATTATTAAACGAATAGGCACACCATTTACACGCATACGTATTACGCATTCGTTACAATTCATTAGTACTGAGGTGGGTACGAAGGGTATCCTGGTTGTTGGTAAGGTCCACGCTGTGCATTGACTTGCGGATACGGCGAGTACGGTGGTGGATTTAACGGATAACCGCTTTGGGGCGGTTGCCCGTAACCGCCTTGGGCCGGTTGCCCGTAACCGCCTTGGGGCTGTTGCCCGTAACCGCTTTGGGACGGTTGCCCGTAACCGCCTTGGGGCGGTTGCCCGTAACCGCTTTGGGGCGGTTGCCCGTAACCGCCAGGATACGCACCTTGAGACATCGGCTGACCGTTGTAATTCGGATTGGCCCATCCAGGTGCTCCTTGTCCCGCTGCGCCGCCGGGGCCTTGTTGCGACGGTCCGCACGCATACGGATGTATACCTGGATACGGTGGAGGACTGTCCGTCATGAAGACGGTATTTCCTAAAGACAAAAGGAGTAAGTTTAGTTGCTAAATATCCCACGTGTATCACTTGTATAAAACAGACATGATAATACCAATGTTATACATATAAGAGCAAATTTTAAAGACAACGCAAAAATCACAATTTAGAAACAACAGATTCATTAGAGCGACATTGATACACCTAAAAAATATGGTATTACAGGAAATAGCGTTTTGCAACTAGAGTTATTTTCTTTTGGGGCTTTAAAATATTTTCTTTTTCAAAAAATCCTCTTAAACTCGATAAATAAGAGAATGTTCCGTTGTGATTACATCGATAAATATTAGATACTAAAAGACCGATGTTATACCTGGCGGAACATCTGGAAATACATTAGTCGGAGGCATCCATCCGTAATATCCGGTCGGTGGGGGTTGATAAGCCGCAGGTTGCGCTGGATACCAGTCAGATGTCGGAGGTGTGTACGGTGGTGGTGCATCATTCATTGGGCCATTGCGCTGAGCTGAGGATCAATACAAATAACATGTAATTAATACATTAGATACCTATAATGAGAGAACCAAACTGAGAAACTTATATATCTATGATAATACTATTAACCTTATGTTATCATACAAATATGTAAATCACACAATTATTGGCATCCCTTTTGTATCTGTTTTTACCAATGTAACTAAATCTAAGTCATTAATGTTCTAGGAGAATTTGATTTTTCTTGTGACCAACTGTGTATCTATCTACAGCTTCAGTTGAGAAAATCTCTTTTGGAATCTCAGAGTTTAAGCAAGAAGCTTAACTACAATGCTGGTTACATAAAAGTTAGATTTTTCTAAGGAACAGTGACTATAAGAGGAATTGTTTTAGTCAAAGAAAAGTTTAGTCAAAAAAAGAAAATTTTAATCGATTAACACCCAGTATTGGCTTGTTCACTTTTAACATGATAGTTTGAAGTTATTATATAAGTTTAATTACAGAAAATGTGTATTATATTAAACTTCTGCAAGACTGTTCTTTCCCTTTCTTGTTCTTATGTATTGTTCACTATTTTATGTATTGTTTTATGTATTGTTTTATGTATTGTTTATTTTTCTTTGTATATTCTTAATCAACACATCTTAATCAGTACTACAATTTTATTTCTTTTTCCTTCAACACTAGATAATATTTTATTCTAAAGGTAAAAAAGTGCAACTTAATTTAGCTAAAAAGATCTTACCCATTATTGCAGCTCTCTGCAAAGCTGTTGCAAATTCTATCGCACCGCCACTCTTGAATTTCAACTTGAACTTGCACTCGCCGATCCAGTTGCCATTGGGCTGAGCACGGCACTTGCCCCCTAAGAAATTGGCGCCGAAAATCGGCTGCTCCACGTCGACCTCGCTTAACGTGACGAATGGAAAGCTGAACGACTGCATCTTCTCTTTTTGATCTTTCGCGTTGAAGATCATCCTGTGGGTCGTCAGGTATAATCTGCCTTGCTTCTTACCCATAAACTCCGCCTGCTCCTGCCCGTGAAACTCCATGTTGACATTGTCGCAGAAGAGAATGATGCTGTTGAGGAAAACTCAAGTTACGCGAGATCGGTGTCGTTGTCCGCGAAGAAGAGACTTCACATAATTCCGCGCAATTTCACGATAATCTTATCAGTTTATGAAGCACGAGGCGATTGTGCCAAGTGTCGAACGAATATTACGTTCCAAATTAACGTAATTGCATAGTTTGCATCTAATTTTCGATAAAGTGAAAAGGACATCGGCAACGAGATAATCATCGTCGAGGCCGAGTCATGGCGATATTGCGCTGCGGAGCTGTCACAATTGAGAATATTCGAGATAGATAAATTGGCAAGGGAAATTCGTCAACACGCGGCTTACCATTCGCCAGAGTGGAGAAGAACTCCACCGTTGGTGTGCGCCGTGTTCAATGACATATTTGCTTACATCCGCGGCCACACGACGGAGATGTCAAAACTTTCGACAGACGTTGACGGACGACCCTCCTCAGGAACTTACCAGACGGCCGAGAACAATATGACTAAGAAGACTGACGTCATTTCCAGTCAACTTACGTCGCGATTGCCTTGTAACTCCATGAAGGATTGAAAGAGATGTCGCGTTGGCGTTCACGACAACTGGCACGCGCACCACACGCCATCTACATTCATCCCGGTTCAGGAGAGTTTCGCGGTCGGTAATGTGAGCGTTGGATTCGAATGTACCGACGAGGCGAACTTGTGCCACTGACGAGATATTCAGTCTTGGGTAAATTTTCGTAAGGTCAAAGAAGCCCCGATGTGCCAGAAGATAATTGAAGAAAGGTAATATTATGAACCATTTTTGGCTATCTGATTTAAATACCTCGAGATTCAGTGTGTCGTATAAAATATTAATTTGACAACTATCTTGATATTTTACCGTTATATAGACTTAGAATAACATATATAAAATATTCTTATAAAACTGGATCTTCTGTAGTTACCATCTACACTGATTTTACACATTTTTACCGACGAATTTATCGATCAAGAGGTTATCAAGTAGCAAAATTTTCTACGCAAAATCGCCGTAAGGGGGCCAACCGCCGGTTTTACCGCCGGTAAGGCAGGATCCAGCTTGCAAACAGCAACAATGGCGCGAAACCACGATGTCACGGACGCGAGTACTCGTTCCCAGGTGATCACAGCCAAACAACGAATAATATATAACAGTCGAGTACGCGTGTCATTTACTCCATCGAAACGCGCACTCCGCAGTTTCAACGTCCTGCCGGACGTTCCACTGTCGATCGTGATGTATCGTATAACGAACACGAGGCGCGGTTAGCGCGCTACGTCGCCCATACAGCACAAAAGTTTGAAAAAGATTTCAGAAAGATCTCAGAAAGGTTCGATGCTTCTGAAACCTTTCTGAAAGCTTTTTGAAACTTCTGTGCTGTATGGGCGAGCAACGTTCCTCCTCGTCGCGGATGCGACGAGCAGCGCGAGACGAAGTTGCCGGCGACGCGCGAAGGCATCGGACGCGCGCAGGAATCAATATCACGAGTGCTCGCAAGCATGCGCCCGGGGCCGACGAGGTAAGGCACTAGTCGGCGCGAGGAAGTGTAAATAACGTAGTGATCGAGGTGCACGGCCAGCCGAACGACACCCGGCGCTTACCCCGCGAGAAGCACCCGGAGGTGCACGCGCGACGAGGCCCGCCGACGACACGCGTACCATGGACTCGTAGGAGACGACTCGTCCGAGCATATCCACCGATCATCGACCATATCTGCCGTCGCGCATCCGTTTCCGTCGACGACTCCGCTCTCCTCCGGCAACATGGACGAGAACCTGAGCCGGGGATACGTCCAGTTGGGCAAGGCCAGAGGCGTAAACGACTTCAATTTCTCCAAGGGATTCAAGCACCTCTCGCCGCCCGTTGACAACTACAACTGCATCTACCTTGCCTTGATGCTCGGCGGCGTAGGCTTCCTTCTGCCCTACAACAGGTCCTGCGACGGTGGACGATCATACGTCCGGACGCGCGTACACATACGCGCGCTCGGTTGTGGTGCGATCGAGCCGAGTCAAAGACCCCAGGATGTTCATGTAGCTTCTCGCCTTGCAAATCTATCGGTTACTTCCTTTTCCCGCTCGTCCTTCGGCCCGCGATCGATTTGCGCTCGACGAAAATGTCGAGACGCTTGTAATTTTCGAGTAATTAACGATCGAACACGAGGGACAGTTCCGGTGAACTGAACTTCTCAGAGGGAAATACAGATGACGAAACTGTAGCTCGCGGTTGACTCTACAAGGGAAGTCGCTTCGATGGAAGTTTGCTTTTACAGAACATCGAAATAAATTGTAAAATTGATGCAGCATATTATGTACGCGCAAATGTCCGGATACGTCACACCGTTTTCTACGCGCGCGAATTTTGAACTCCACGACTCTAGCTTGCCATTTGAGAAGTATAGACATTATTCGAATTTTTATCAGGTATCCTGGCGCTCGATCGTTCACGATCTCGTGTATTTTTCGGTGACAGCAATGCGTTGAATTCGACGAAAATCTCGTCGCAATTTATGCTGCAATAATGTCACTATCTGTTGCAGCTTTATCATAGCGGTGGATTATTTTCAAGAGAGATACCCGGAGACTACTGTGGTATTCGACATGTCTGTCGTTTACATCAGTGTAGCTTTCATCGCGGTCTTTGCGAACAATATCCTGGTAGAGACCTTTTCGTTGAATACACGAATCACATTTGGTAAGACGCGCACTAAGATGAGTTAAGAGAATGTATTGTACCCACCCGGATAGCACAAAGAATTCAAAAAGAATTCAGTCGTATATCATCAATTCTGAGTTCATTTTTAGATGCAAAAAGAATTGTTTTCACTGAACTGAACTTTGAACAATTCTTTTTATATCTGAAAATGAATTGGTGACATAAATTAATTATTGGTGACTGAATTCTTTTTGAATTCTCTGATATCTGGGCATATTCTAAAAAATAAGAAAAAAATTGAAGATTAATCTATACTTAAATTTTCAGGATATCTTGTATCTTTCGTGACTCTGAACTTCGTGGTGATCTGCGAGATTTGGTGGGAGCTCTTTGGCATTGCGACTTCTTATAAAATGAATCTGGCTGCTGTTGCGATAGTGTCGCTCGGTTGTACAGGTAAAGTCGTAAAAGTCCTCGGTGATGACTGCCGATAAACATCAGCGTCATTTCTCTTCTGTTGCGTTATAGTTCAGCAATCGAGCTTTTACGGGTACACATCTATGCTTCCTAGTCGATACACTCAGGCTGTGATGACTGGAGAGAGTGAGTACCGTTCCATGAGTGATAAAAGATCTGTGCATGGCTACACGTAACGGCGAAGTATCATGATTTATAATTGGCGGGAAAAAGAAAAAGAACTTTCGAGCCGTTGAAAATGGCCGACTTTAGACCCGGATTAAACCTCAGCAGCAAAAATAAGTAACGGAACAACATTATTTATCGTTCAGTGTAAAATTGATGTTAATGAAATTGCAATTTAGAAGGCTCAATCGTTTAGATATCAAACACTGTGTGTCAGTCAAAAAGATGAGATCTGAACAATTATAAGAGATAATTCTCCTCAACAGTTTGACTTGAAAAAAGAAATTGTCTGTATATATTGTAGATGTATATGCGACATGCATTTGTATATCGCACGTAACAACGTTGTGTGTCTCCTTGCTCTAAGTTCACAGATACCCGATGTAACACTCGATAGAAATATACTTGATCGTGCGTTTCCAGGTATTGCCGGCTTCTGGGTGTCGATTAGTCGTGTAATAACAAAGTCGCTGTTCAACGATGAGCGTTGTAATACGTCCATGTTCTTCATTTCGTCGAACATAACGATTCTGTTTTGCTTCGTGCTACATCAAGTAGCGCGGAAGAGCGATTTCGTGCAATTCTACATAACGCTATGTCAGGAGAAAAATCGGATCACGTTGGAACCAACGGAGGACGTTGGTCTGGTACGGAGCTATATTGTATCCATCATCGATATATCATGTATTTGATTTCTCTCGAAATTATCCGTAATCGTAGACGTAAGACAAGCACATTTGTATATAATCTAATAATCATTCATACGATCGTTCTTTTATATTAAACAGATGGATCCAATGGACCAAGTCGGCGACCCCTCGAAGGGTCAGTACGGAGTGCTAAAAATTCAAACTAGTCCAATGGGACCAGAATCCGCGAGCGGAAGCACTGATGTAACTGGTAAGTGAGAAATTACCATGGGTGATGAATACGTGGATGTGTGGAGTCGCCTGATTTCGTAGGTCGACTCAATGATCGTTTCTTTACCTCTGATTTTTCCTGGAATGAATTTTATCGATTAACACGTTAACAATTTAAGTAGTACGAATATACAGTCATGCAAAATCAAACGTACATGTGCTGAAAGAATCGCGACGAACTTGTGACGCTAACCGAATTCTTTTAGCATCCGGACAATATTCTGCGTTCTCCTTCAGCAATCCGGTGTACGAGCCTAGTGCCCCGTCGGGCAATCCTCCTGGCAGTGCTGGGCCGACTTACAAAGTTGAAGATGTGGTAGTTATGCGAGGAGCCTGCGGAACGCAAAGCACAGGCAAACGATGGTCTGGTATAAAAAGTAAGAGCTAGAAAATATCATCACTCTATCGGTCGTTACTTCTCGCTCGCGTATATTTACGCAAAATGAAATCGTGATGCTACCTGCACATTAAACAAACTTCAGAAAACCTGCATTTTCGTAAAATATCACTTTTCTTTAATGTATTTAGATTCCTAAACTCTCGCCGCGACTACTTATGACGTCAAAAGCGAAAAAATACACATTAAAAATTCAATTTTGCAAGAATTTTTAACGTGTATTTTTTCATTCCTGATGTCATTAATGAAGAGTTTCGCAGCGGGGAGCTAGGAACCTTAACGATGCATCTTTTTAGGAGGCCTGGTCGCAAGACTCGAAGTCATCAAATTGATTTTTCCGTACATGATCAGTATCGGTCTTGCCTATTCCGTGACACTCTCTCTGTATCCAGGAATCGTGTCGGAAATAATATCTTGCAAACTCAAGTCGTGGATGCCGATTATTCTGATGACCACTTTCAACGCCTCCGATTTGCTTGGCAAGGTATTGATTGACTCAATCACCCGCATTACGTCCAGAAACAACAAGAAAAGCAACTACTGAATCTATATAGGGTATAACAGGTTATCCGATTATTCCGTAGATGTTCACTTTGATACATTACACATGGAAACGTACGCAAGTGCTGTGGATTTCTGCTGCGCGTGCCATACTCATTCCTCTGTTCCTATTCTGCGCGATTCCACGTGACGCTCCTATCCTTTCTGGAGAGATACATCCAATCTTATTGTCTTGGGCACTTGGCCTCACCAACGGTTTAGTCGGTTCCATACCTATGATTCAAGCACCCAGCAAGGTGCCGGAAGAATATCGCGAACTCGCAGGTGAGTCGAACAGTTTATTCACTTGTCAAGCCTATCACCTAGGCTACCACTCGAAGAAACCATCGCGTGACGCATCGTGCTTTCTGTTAGGTAACATCATGACCCTGTCGTACACCGGCGGCTTGACTATCGGATCCACATTCGCTTATCTGATGGACGCCTGCCTCGGGCCACCGCTACAAGCCAAGGACATATGCCCGAAATTGGTGAATGCTCCGACCACGATGACCGCGATCGGCAATGCGACCGTGAGTGTCCTGATGACCGCGATATCCTCCACTTTGCCCATTGAGAGGACCACGGTGATACCGAAGCTGAAGACCACCGCTGGTGTGTTTACTACGGTTCTGACGTCGACGTTGCTGACAAACACCACAGTGAGCCTGTTGACCACAGGTGGATCATTGGAGGCGTCGACGACGGCTTTGCCCAAGATCTTGGCTAACGCTACTGTCTCAGCGAGCGACACGATCTTGCAACATTAAAATGCGCATGTTGCGCGTAATGTTGAATCCGGTACTGATATATGAATGAGAGAGAGAGAGAGAGAGAGAGAGAGAGAGAGAGAGAGAAAGGGAGAGAGAAAGGGAGAGTATGCATGTGCGAGTGAATATGAGTGTACATGAGAGTGTGCGCACGCGTGCGTATGTGTGTATATATGTGTCAAAGAAGGTGAGCTTAAAGTTGAAAAAGATTTGTTGCAAGGCATCGTGAGACATTTTAAATTAGTGGATCTTTTATTGTGAAGTGGTGCAAATAGAACGGCCGATTTTTCGTTTTAACACTTTTACTAGCATTAATCGTAGAACACCATTTAACAACATTGATTGGCATCAACGCGTACTGTGCATCAGTTGCGTTCGATGTAACTTCGGAGCTTATTCCTTGTGCGATTATCCACTGTTAGAAACGAAAAATATTGCATAAAAAGATCGAGTAAAGAGTAAGCCTTGCGAGATGTTGTATAACGCGAGTCACACGGATAGAAGTAGGATAGGAGTATTTAATTTCACATTTAAGACTCTGATCCCACTGCTGCAGAATTCCTGCTTTGATAATGTCAGAAACGCGTGCCAACAATTCTTATGTGTTATTTTCAAATAAAAACATATATGCATGAAAAAACACTTTAGATCGTTCAAATATACTTGTAAAATGCCCTGAAAATTTAATCTTTTTCCTTTGAGTCAATAAATACTCTTAAAAATAACAGAATAATGAGAATAACAGAAAAATAAGCAGAATCATAAGAAAAGGTAGATTAAAGAGAACAAAGTCGCTTGTCATGTAAGTTTTAAGGCTATTTATTAACTGTCAAGAAAAAAGATAGTATTCAGATTATTTTACAAATATGCTCAAGTAATCTAAAATGTTCTTTCATACAAATATTTGTCTATTTTAAAATGGCAAAAATGTTTGGCATACGTTTTTTTCGCTTCTAACATCATCAATTCAGTGTTCCGCAATAGTGGGACCATAACGATTAGGGTAAAATAAAAGCGAAATCGTCCATTGTTTTTGCACCAAGCTGATGATAAAAATATTGTATTTCTTGTTAGAAATACTCGACATGCAATTTCGGTGAGAATGCTCCCGTACTGCTCTTGATCGCGAGATATGGTGAAGAATGCCGGCTTGAATGAAAGTCGGATTTCACATTTTGCTTTACGGAAATTCTCGTTACGATGACTCGATATCTCACTCGTTGTTATTCATTTACGCGCATGCTGCACGGACTCACTTTTGATTTCGCACCTTGCCGAGATTGAGCTTTCAAGCGCATATCGCCAAAATTAGACACGACGCACAAAGGAATCGCGACTGATTGCGAAAATGTCGCGCTTACGGGGCGAGGTCGAGGAAAATCGACACGATACGTGAGAGATGCGCGAGATTATGCGCGTGTTCCTTTTCTGTTAGGATTATTGTGTGCCTTTTGCGCTGGTTTCGGATCAGCGAGTCGCTTTTCCGAGTGCATTTGAAAACGATTAAAAGACGGAGTCGTCAGTAATATTCTTTCGATAGGAGACGATTCGTTGATACTTATTCCGGTATGTTGAACCGCGCCTTCGTTGTTGTTTCATGTTTTTTGGCGTGATTACCGGATAAAAGATGCGTCGTCGAGTGATATGGTTAGGGCCAGCGAAGTGGCCGAGAACGCGAGATCTGTCAATGTGATCCGCAACGACAGTCTTCCTCGGCGAGTTCCAACGCGTGACAAACCGTATTAGATCGCTATAATGATTGAAGATTGGGAAATTTTGGTTGTGAAGAAGTTATCGTGCTGTGGTTATATCCCGCACCGTCGAGTATACAGCGTCTTACACACGCGTCTCGGTGCACGGTGTGTGAATACAGTTGATACGCGTTATTATTAATGTAAAAATACGTATATTTATACGGTACGTGTAAAGTAAAAGTATATCAATATCCCTAGACGCGTACCTAACTCTGGACATTCTTATTGTTTTGGTCTCTAAATACGAATGTTGAAACTTTAGTTGGGTATGCGTCCAGGCGTTAACACTTTTACTTTATACTTTTCAAACGAGAAAGGTCAACTCTCTCTCACATAAACATCTCTTCTCTCCCCTCCAGCTTTGTTCGCATTACCTGCTCAAGACATATCTGGTGTTACGTAGGACATTATAATCAAAGTCTGTAATGTTAAGATGTAATAAACCAAAAAAAAAAAAATAAGAAAAAACGCGATGTTACGAAGAAACATAAAATAGACTCGATCGACGCGACGGAAAGCCGCGCGCGACGCATAACGTGAACTAGCGCATAGAAAACGTGTGCATTGTTCGTTATATGTTATATTTTTCATTCTAATGTCCTAATTCACGTACAATGTATCAGACGCGATACGGCGTGACTGACTCTGTCGTTGACTCGACGCCGAGAACAAAGGATAACAAATTCCCGATTGTTTGCATGCTCGGCGCTTTTCGCTCTCTCGATCAATCTCTTGCTCGTTTGTGAGTGTGACATAAAATTCAATCGAGATCTTCGAAAAAGATATGCAATATTATTGCGTTTAACTGTTGTAGAGATATCACGCCGTATCGAAATTAGTTAATATGTACAAACAATAAATATATATGTATATAATATAACGTATCTCTTATATAATTGCATATCGTATCGCGTCCCAAGCCATTCGTTCTTTGTATAATTATACTTCTCTCTGTCTCTCTTTCTCTCTCTCTCTCTCTCTCTCTCTCTCTCTCTCTCTCTCTCTCTCTCTC